TTACCTTTAAGCAAGCAGTTTGAGATTAGGACACCTGGTGATAACAGCTCTTTGACCACAGGGACCTTGCAAGGTCAAGTAACATTTCACAAAGTATGGAGACAGCAATTCAGGGTCTGCCCATGAGAGAAAACGTGTGATATTTATCTGAGTCTGGCTTATTTTGCTTAACACGATGATCTCCAGTTCTATTCATTTACCTGCAAGTGGCATAATTTTGTTCTGTTGCTGGAACCACCATTCAAAAATTCCCCATACGGGCCACCATCAAATGTCACCAGAATGAGGACCTCTTCAATCACAGGTTGGTTCCAGAAGGCATGAATCTCAACCTGGGGTGTTGAGTTGTGACATGTGTGGTGTTTGTGGCCCCGATGCAAACCTAGTTTGTGACATCGTCACAGAAAAGAATTTAAGGATGAGTCTAGTTGGGTGGGAAGTTTTATTTAGCAAGCAGAAAAGCAGGAAACAAAATCCCCCCGGGAGGCTGGGGTATGACCCATGAGAAGTGTGCGTGAGGCTCACGTTGGTGGAGGTATAAGCTCTTCATTTAGACCATGTCACATCCATTTGCTGTGACAACCTTCCTCAAATTGCATCTCATGTTTTTGAAACTGATAAATTTGAGACTTCCAGACACAAGTCTCCTCAACTGACATGGGTGACAAATGCTTGAGGACCTTCCAGGTTCTGGGCAGAAATGCTGGTTATTAGGAGATATTTATTCTCCTTTCGGCCCCAGGATGAGTTTCACCAGATGCTTTTCTTGATATATTTACTCAAGACCTTTGGATTTGTTTTCATGCCCTGAATTTTAACTTGCTTTTGTTCTCATGCCTCAATATCTCCAATTTAACCTACCTCAGTTCTTCTTTCTTTTCTTTTTTTTTGGTGGTACTGGGGTTTGAACTCAGGGCCTCATGCTTGGTAGGCAGGCACTCTTACTATTTGAGCCACTCTGCCAGCCCTCAGTTCTTCTTTATGGCCAAATAATATTCCATTGTGTATACATGCCACATTTTCTTTAAGCATTCATTGGCTGATGGGCACCTGGGCTGAGTTCATAGCTTGGCTGTTGAGAATAGTGTGGCTATAAATATGGGTGTACCTGGGAGTGGCATGGCAGGAACATATGGTAGCTCTCTTTTTAGTTTTTTGAGGAGCCTCCATGCTGATTTCCATTAGTGGCTGCTCTAATTTACGTTTCTATCAGCAGTGTGAGGGCTCCTTTTTCCCTGCACCTCTGTCACCATTTCTTGTCGTTTGCTTTCTCTTTTTTTTTTTGTCAGTACGGGAGTTTGAACTCAGAGCCTCACGCTTGCTAGCATCCTACCAATCCACCAGTACTTTTTTGTGATGGGTTTCTTTTCAAGATAGTGTCTCGAGAACTATTTGTTTAGCCTGGCTTTGTACCTCGATCCTCCTGATCTCTGCCTCCTGAGTAGTTAGGATTACAGGTATGAGCCACTGGTGCCTGGCCAGTTTGGATTCTGGATGGTAGCCATTTGGGCTAGAGTGTGGTGGAATCTCAGTGTAGTTTTGATTGGCATTTCCCTGATGGCTAAGGATGGTGACATTTTTTTTCATGTATTTATTGCCCATTGGTGAAATTTTCCTTTTTTTTTTTTAACTTGTTTATGGTAGAACTGAAGTTTGAACACAGGGCTTCATGTTTGCAAAGCAAGTGCTCTACTGCCTGAGCCACACCTCCAACCCATTTTGCTCTGGCTATTTTGGAGATGGGGTCTTGTGAACTATTTACCCAGGCTGGCCTAAAACTGTGATTCTCCTGATCTCAGCCTCCCAAGTAGTTAGGATTATAGGTGTGAGCCACTGGCCCCTGGCAAAATTTCCCTTTTCTTATAAATGATCCATCAACCCCTGGATTTAGGGCCACACTACTCCAGTATGGACACAAGGTGATTATACCTACACAGAGATCATTTCCAAATAAGGTCACAGTCACCATTACAGGGGAGGGGTTTGGACTTGAGCATACCTTTGGAGAAAACACAGAAACCATTCCAGATGTCACTTTATTTTTATTCCTCCTCCTGCCCTATGGGGAGCAGCCTTGTCCTTCTACCCTAGTGCCAGGGATTTGATTGACACACAAAACCACACTCAAAAACAGTTCATTGAATGCACAGATGAATTTTAAATTGCGATTCAAATATGCAGACAAAGGTCTGGCTTGGGTGGATCCCAGTCCCCCTCTTACCTCTGCAGTTTGGATGTGTGCCCCAGAAAATAGCAGCGACTTCAAAAAAGCCCTGGAAGACAGGGTCTGCCTAGGGAGTCCTGAAAATTTTCAACCAGAGCAAGCAACAGCTCTGGTAGTCAATGCATGGCGATTCTTCTTTCCTGAGCAAGCCTCAGTTGCAGAGACCTTGTGTTTACAGATGGCGAAGTGTGCTGTTCCAAAAAGTAACGAAACCCACAGAGAGCTTTCATGTCTCCACTTGATCTGTAGCAATATGGAAAAAAAGAACAAAACGTCTTCTTACACATCACATCTCGTTGATCAGAAGGGGACCAGAACGGATGCCGTTAATACAGGTTTTGCAAGTTGGCCTCACTGGAGCCCACCACGCCAAGTGTGCTTAGTTGGCCCATGTCTTCCTCTGGGATCGCAGCATTGAGCCTCTGTGATCAGGGCCCTCTGTGCTCTGTTCACTTGCCAATCTCATCAACCAGCCCAGCAGAGCTCAGGATGGAAGAAATTGCTCTTTAATTGGTCACAGCTCCCAGCCAGCAGGACCTCGAGTCTAGTAACACTTCTGCTTGTCTCCAGCTCTTATGCAGACACTGGATTAAAATATTTTTTTTCTAGCATTTGAGGGACTCGTCCAATGAATTTACCTTTGAATACCTAAACCAGCAGGACCTGGAGTGTTTGGAAATACAGACATGGTCTAGAATCTGCCCTGTGACCTTCACTGGAGTGTGACCTTGGGCAAGACCCAAAACCACTCTGAACCTCAGACTTCTCTTTAAATGGGGACTGATAGTTTCTCAGGGTAATGAAGATATTACAGGTGAAATTTCTAGTCCAGTGTTTGTATAGGATCGAGACCATTTTTTAGGAGGGATGAGGGATGAGGTGGGCATTGTCTGTACTGAACATACTTTGGAATTGGTTCATTAGAATTAAGCAGTGGGGCTGGTGGTGTTCCAGAAGTTTTCTGTTTGTTTTAGATCTTTTTATTTTTATTTTTTAAATACAGGAAGGAAGAAGGGAACCCGTTAGGAGTAGATTTGGAATACCACTCAGTTGTTGAATGATTGCTGTGTCTCCGCTTTCAGGTCCTGTACTGCTGTTGTTGTCAGGGTGGAGTCTGTGATCAGAAGATGTCCAAACTCTGTGTCCCCTGGGGAAGAATCCATGGCAGGACACATGGGTATAAATGGAGTTTATTAAAAGGGAAGGGAAACACAAGAGGGAGCATGGTGGGCACAGGTGGAGTCTGCAGGCAGATGGAGCGTGCTTCTCTTCCCCAGGTGCTTTTAAAACCTACGCTAACCTATGGGGAGGGAGGAAGCAGGTGATTCCATCCAGCAATCAGAGTGGGGAGGGGAATGGGTGGCTTCTGAGTCGGTGAGGGCAGTCTCTGGACCAGAGTATGGTTAATCTGAGATGTAATATTAAGTTTCTATGAGTCCTGAACGTTCCCTAATTTTAGCCTGCCTCATTCCCAGGGGGCAGGAGGTAATCAAGGGAAGGAATCTAATGTCTCCTGGGTACAGAGAGGGACATGGCTTTCATTCTTCTACCAGACAACTAGGTCCAGAGTCACCAGCGTAAATGAATAACGGAAGGACATATTAACACTTCCCTTAAAAGAAGAAATAGCGTTGATGATGACTGTGATGTCTGACCTGTCATGTCAAGACAAACAACCCAAACGCCAGCGCCCAGCCTTACTGACCTTGTGTCCTGGGCCTAGTCACTTCACTCTGCTGCTTTACTTTTTGGCAGTACTGGGGTTTGAACTCGGGGCCTTGTACTTTCTGGGGAGGTGCTGTACAATTGAGCCATGCCCCCAGTCCTTCACCTCACAATTAGATGCATTAATTAGACGCCTGTGTGAAGCACCTGGACCTGTCTCAGACTGAGGTAGCTCTCATGTCAACTCCATTCTCGTTTCTGTAGTGAAGTCTCTGTGTCTCAGAGCCTGCTTTTTCTATGGTGACTTCTTTGGCTTCTGGTTCATCCAGATGGAAATTTTCGATGCAAACAGGATAAGAGGTGTGGGTGTAAACATATACTTGAGAAATCAGAGCCTCGAACTGTGGGCAGTGCCATTTTCTTGACTCTTGCTATAAGCATCACTGGCCAGAATCACTGTTGAACAGAGTCACGGCTTGAGGGGAACTCAGTCTTTTGGGTGGCAGAGTTTTGGCCTGTGCACGGACAGGCCCTCTTTAGATCTGAGAAGTGGAAAAGATGTCACCTCTAAGGACCATTGTTTCACTGCTTCACCACACATGTGACACGGTAGGGTGCCACATTTATTTTAAAAAATAGAATCCTTTTGTAATGAGGACTACAAAAAAAGAAAAACTTTTGGTTTAGCCAGCTTACATGCTGGTTGGATTGCTTTGCATTGCTTCTTTCTTTCTCTGTCTCTCTGTCTCTCTCTCTCTCTTTCTCTGTCCATGCTAGGGTCTTCTCTCCCTCATCTCTCTCTCCGATGTGGCGCCTGTAACTGGGAGATTAGAACCAAGGCCTGAATTCCTGCTCTGGGATGTGCACTGCACCTACTCTGAGCAGACCCCGCAGACTACTCCTCAGATACCAGACATTCTCTCTCCGAAGTGGAGAAACAGAGCTTCGACTGTTGACTCCCCCAGCCCTCCTCTTCATCTGATGAATAATAAACCTTATTTCCTTCCTCAAAACCCTGCTCTCCTTATTTGTGACTTGGTATTGAGGCCAGGGAATGGTGACAGTTTTGATGAAGGGTCCTGAAGCATGTACCATCTTTCTCATCTCTTAGGCTTCATTTTTGAACTAAAATAAAACCTTCATGATTGATTTTAAGTGAAGATGAAGAAGAGGAACTCAAACTGCTTTTGCTGAAAAGCACTGACTTCTTCTTGGGCCCAGGAATTAGCCATGGCAAGAGAAGCTTGGCATCCCTGCCTCCATTTTGTATCTCTTTGCTCTAAGTCATTCTCTCTGCAGCCACCTTCTAGTCACCTTGGATTCCAGAAAAGACAGAGGATAACATCTTCATGGCAAGGGACAGAAACTACCCCAACAGCAGACCTTCCTCAGGAAGGACCACCTGCTAGTTGACAAAGAATCCAGATAACAAATCCTGAACCTCTCCCAGAACAAGGACTGAGATAAAGGTCAACCAGACCACACCTGTGACTTAACTGTCTAGCTATGCACACCTTCGTCCCCTGGCCCCAGTTCTTTTGTCTATAGCTCATGTCTGCACCCTGAAGATGGCTGAAGATGGGCTGAGTGCTTCCTCTGCCTCTTCCCACGACAGGTCCTGCACTGTGTAATAAAACTCCTTTTTCTGCCTTCACCAGGCCTCTTTATTTGGTGTTTAGGGGTGGGTGGCCGGACTTGGCTTATGGAATCTCAGGAATTTGGGCTTGGTTTTCAACCTGTGAACCATCTTGGCCCTAAGGGACACTTCACCACCCCAGGAGTGGGCTGTGGGAGGCTCCAGTCTTAGGGATACATGCTGTGCAGCGTTCCAAAATGCTTGCTTTAAACACTGCCACAGTGGCTTTTTAATTAACAAATCTATTTGTGTTGTTGGGGTCTGAGGTCGACCACCCCTCAGAGGAACAAAAGACACTGACGATAATGTAAGCCACAAAGCGAGGTTTATATTTCCAGCTAGCTGGGGTCTGGGTATCTGCCCGACGCAGCGGGTTTCAACAAGGACCCCGAATGCAAAGTACAGGCTGCTTTTATATTTTTTTAAACATTAGTCATGGTCACACAGCAATTTTTATGGCCCCTCGGGTCACATATTTCTGATATCACCCACATCCTGGTGGTGGGGCAAGACTACTTGAAGATTATTTATCAGGAACTTGATAAACACCAGGTGTCTTAACTCATTGACTCACATACAGTTCCAGCAAGATTAACCAGAAACAGTCCCTGTTCCCAGAAACCGTCCCACCTCCCTTTGTGGTGGCTTGGGTCATTTTAGTCATGGCCGGTGTCAGGCTGAGTGGGCTGCAAGCCTCGAAGGTACCCTAACAGTGTAAATACTGATTTCATTTATTCTTTTATCACAGGCATGTCGAGTGCCCCTTTGGCTCAGCATTACGTTAGCAGTGGGGACACTTTAGTGAACTAGCCTTGGTCCCTGAGTTCTCAGAGCTTAAAATCTAGTAACTGTGGCGGCGGGTCTTCCCTGTCCATAGCAAAAGAGCATTCCTAAATTGCTCAAAAGGAATGGGGTATCCAGAGTTTTCTGGCCTGATGACCTTTTGAGTTTAGTAGTTCTCGGAACACACCTTTGGGAAATTCTTGGGTCTGGAGCATAACTGCTACCTCGAAGCACCATAACCACCTCCAAGTCTTTGTCCTGCTTGGAGATGATGAGAAAAGGTGACATCTTAAACAAGGGTCAGCCCCGCCTCCTTGTCATCACAATCCCATTTGGCATTCTTGTGTGTGGGGTCCAGCCAGGTGCTATGAATATTAGTAACAAATAGGTGATTTTTTCTGAGACAAGGTCTCACAATGTAGCTGGCCTCCAACTCTTGATCTCCTGCCTTCAGCTTCCCAAGAGCTGGGATTACAGGTGTGTGCACCACTCCTAGCTCAAGAGACATTTTTTGGGCTGGCGGAGTGCTTCAAGCGGTAGAGTGCCTGCCTCACAAGTGTGAGGCCTTGAGTTCAAACCCCAGTACTGCCAAAACAACAACGACAACTAGTTGAGATGGGGGTGTTACATCTTGTGGATAGAGACCAGGGAGGTCGCTCGGTACCCTACAGTGCACAGGATAGCCCCCCAATAAAAAATCATCACCCCAAATGTCAGCAGTTCCATAGTTGGGAAGCCCTGTGCTTCCAGCGTGTGATACAGGACTTCGTTCCACGTGAACCTCACAGTCAGAAGGGAGATGGGACGAACGCACACCCTAATAAACTCTTCATTGAGTGCTGTATCAGGTGAATCCGTCTTGGTCACTTTCTGCAGGGCGAAGCCACGAAGCCAGCCTGACCTCTGGCGCCTCCTGGTGGCCTCTGGAGGAACACCAGCCTCCTTAGAGATCCAGCCAAGACCTTCCCACCGCCCCTCACCTGCTTTAAATCCAACCTCACCTTCAACTCCCTGTCCAGCCCCTGCACCCTCTTCTGTCCAGATACAGTCACTGTTCCCATTTGCGGTCCTCTCCTTGCAGCTGCCTGTGACCTCTTGTGTGTGTCTGTGCTGCTCTCCTGTCTGGACCACTCCCCATTCTTCTTTCTCATTGCAAACCCCACTCACACTTGAGCAATGTTTAAAGTCCCTCTGCTCTTGGACCCTTTTCTAATTTTCCCAGCACGAGTGAATTTTAGGGTCTTTCATCCTTCCAGATCCTTGACGTACCTCTGGGATCATGGTCATGTTACAAGTTGCTGATTCTTATGTCTCCCTGTCCATCGTTTGCCTGTCCTGTGGCTTCGAAGCCTGGCCGTAGAATGTCCAGGAGAGTTTGCTAAAAACTCTCAGTGTTGTATTTCACCACAGTAGATCTAGACTCAGACTGTTACTTAGGAATATCTGCTCTTCACACTTCCAAACTCCTAAAGTTTGAGACCCTCTCTGCTCTCCTGGTTTTCAGATCTTGGTCCAAATGTCACCTCCTTAGAGAAGCCTTCCCTGGCCACCCTCAGGTCCTTGCCAGTCTCTTGCACATCACTTTGTGTTATTTCTGTGCAGAACACATGTCAACGTTTGCTGTGTTTTGATTTTGAAAAGTACTAGAAAGACAGGGTAGCACCATGAGTACTAGTGTCAGTTCTGTTTGTTTCTAAACTCTAAGAGAGAGAGAGAGAGAGAGAGAGAGAGAAATGTGATTAGCATAGCATGTGCAAAGCCCTGGGTTCCATCCGTAGACCACAGACAGGAAGGAAAAGGAAAAGAGTGTCAGTTCTATGTCCTTGAACACCGCTTACTAGCGGAGTGATCTGGTTATGTGGTTCTGATACTGGAGTGCTGTTCCTGAGTTCATGTCTTGGTGCAGGCGATGACTGAAGACACCAGACAAGGAGTAAGATAAAGCAAGCACAAAGTTTATTGAAAGGATCGCAAAGCACCCTGATGAGTGGGACTCAGGGAAAGAGCTAAGCCGTACAGTGGCGGAAGTGGAGGAGATGACACAGGGCTCCAACTGGCTGAGGTCCAACTATTTTACCTCCAAACTATATTTGTGATTGGTTTGTGCCTAGCCGACTTCTCCTGAAATCCGACCACCTGTCCATCCCTCTCCTTTTTGGACTGGACATTCCTGGAGGGGCTGGTCAGCTCGTCCTGGCCTTGGGGCCCACTCCCCACACTGTGCTACTTTGGTGAATTGTTCTTTCTCTGAGCAGCCTGTTGTTTCCCATGTTTCTTTAGATGTCTGCTTCTAAACTGCCTCTCTCATCCAAAATGGAGTCACCTTTGTCATTGCTCCCCTTATAGGTCAACGTCTCCAGGTCTCAGTTTCCCCATCTGTACATTGGGGATCATGATGGAACTGCAGCAAAGGGTTCTGTAAGGGTTAAATCAGTAGAATGTGCAAAGCACTCAGAAGAGTGGGTAGAACATGGAAAATTGACTACACACGTGAGGGGTTAATGTTATTTTATTCCTCCCACTGAAATCCAAGTCCCATGGGGGCAGATGCTATGGCTATCTTTGTCACTGCTGCATCTCTACCCCCTGGGACATGGTACATGGTGTTCAGTCAATATTTCCAGATGAACAGATGGGTGGGTGAATAGATGGATGGATGGGTGCCTAGATTTGACCTTGAACCTTTGAGAGCAGGGAACTGTACTGGAGCCATCTCTCTATGCTGAGCACTTGGCATGGGCCTGGCCTAAAGGAGATACTCAGAAACTGACTGATGGATGAATGCAAGAATCCATGAACCAGGGTGACACCATGGCTGGGATGAATTTGAGAATTCCCAGTAGGTGTGAGAAATATGCTCACCTGTCCAAACTCCAAGAATGGACTCACAGTCACGTGGAGTACAGCAGAAGTGAGACTTTAGTGGTGGTCTTGCAAGATCGGTGCCTGGCCAGCAGAGACAACCAAAGCAATTACAACGTTATCTTGTCTAGTGGGCAAGTCCTAGCCCTGGTTCCTCATTGACTGAATACTATGGAGTGTACATTCTTCTTTCCCCTCCCCCAGGTAACCGAGATTTCCTATTGGGAAAGGCTTATCTGAAATATACCTCTCTTGGGATTGGTTAAATTCTAGACGCAGACTTGAAGTGGTACCTACCTCCCTTTGTGGCAGGAAGGGCTCCCTGTGACATGTGTTTTCTGGCACATACACAGTTTTTACCCATTCCCTCATTGTATGGTGATTTACCCCTCCCAGTTTAAGTTCCCTTATCAGTTGGTCCTCCCCCACCATCCACAAGCAAGCGGCCAGAGTTAAACGCCTGCCTTGAAAATGGAGCAGCACTGACTGTATTTCTAACAGTAGGCATAGTGTTTTGAAGTTAGGTCATGGAATCTGCATAAGCAGGAACACAGGCAGGCATTCCGAGCAAAGGCCCAGCCTGAATAAAGGTCGGGAGGTACAGAAAAGTGAGCTATCACCTGAAACAGGAAGTGGGCAGTCCAATCTGGCTGCAGCATAGGTGCAGAGAGCTGAGGGGTAAGTGTCAGGCTCTCTGATTGGTTAGACCCGGTTTCCAACCAGGGTGACTGGGTCTTTGTTGTGTCTCTGAGCCCGTTTCCCTACCTCTTAGGCTTGTGGTGCAGGTGCAATTTAAACATGCAGGTGGGGTGCCTAGCATACTATATTAATTTCCCCACCAAATACTCATGGGGCACTTGCATGAGCTCAGCAGGTGTCACCGGTGTGCCATGCACAGGAGTGCACAAAGCTGTTATATCAGTCTTGTTCTCTACATCCTAAGAGGTGGCTTGAGGATTTGGGGGGCTTTGAGGGCCAGGCTAAAGCA